ACCTTCTCCCTCATTGGCAAATTGTCTCTGGGAGTAGTCATGGCAGCTGTGAGCTTATAGCAGCCAACTTCAGTCACTGCATTGGCAGCTCTGTCCAGCCGTCAACCGAGGCACTGACTCAAATCCTGAGAGTTCCTCACTTGTATACTTCCAAAGACTGACATTTCTGTTCAACACAGGGAGACCATGGGAAAAGACTGTTTATCATCAAACCCTCTGAATTCTATGGCAAGTGTTTTTTGTGTTTACTGAAATTCCACATTTTGTTGTCTGGAATACCAATAGCAATTGGCATAACTCTCATAAATGTATTCACTGGTGAATTAGCAGAGATTCCTGAAAGTTTATGTCACTGAACATTGGTAATAATTTCAAGCATCCTATATCAAGATGAACTGCCTGTACGTCCTTTGACTTCTGTGAAGATAATTATGAAAGAACAATGGCTAGCTTTGAAATTGAAGTGGAAAAGCTCATTAAAGGTGGTAGAAGTACAATCATTCTGCATGCAAGAGATGATGAGCCCTGCTGCTGGTACCGGTATCCAACTGTGGATAAGGCACTTCGTCATCATTCTCCAAAAGCAACTCCCAACAACTAATTTTTCTTTTTTCAACTACAAAGTGTATTCTCTTTAGTGAAAATAAATTAACCAATATATTCTGTGGTTTCACTCTCTGTGAAGAATAAACAAGCCAAAAAACAACTTAGGTGTCTTTGGTAGACTTGCCTCTAGGACATTCATTATCTCAGTGTTAAAGTGACAGTAATTTAAAGTCTTCCAGGTTTCGTTCATCTCGAAATAGAAGTCCTCAGAAAAAGAACCATAATAATGGCAAAATTCTATGTTCTTTTCATGTTCCCATACAGATTGCATACTTAAAATAATTCAAGTAAAGAGAAATTCTTAGCCAGCCTCAAAACATTGACTTGAGTCAAGAGTAGGAATAGGATTGCAAGAGCTCTTATATTATGTATCCAAGTCATCTGGGTTCTATTAAAAGACTGGAACCGATCTTTATTAAGCAAGGGTCTAAAGAAAAAAAAATTTATTTAGATTAAAGCATGTGGAGTTTCTATAGTTTTCAGAAAGTCTCTTATGAAAGCAAGAAACAAATTTTAACTAGGGTTCCCTCTAGCTTATTATGTGATCTGGTTTTATATAACCTGCGTATTGCTAGATTTGTTAAATACTTGTTGCTTGATATTTTAAAGCATTTTAAGTACTTGAACTCTATAATCAAATTCATCTGCTACATGCTACCTGAATAACCGTGGCCAAGTTATTTGACCTTTCAGTGCCTCAGTTTATTCATTTGTAAAATAGGGATAGTAGGCATATATGTAGCTTACAGTTGAAGTCTTGGTGTGGTGCTGTATAAAAAGCTCTGTACTGCTAACCACAATGTTCAAATCTATTCAGCCACTCCTTGGAAAGTATATACAGGTTAATTATGAATGGGAACTGATCTCATGGCATTTGACAGTTTGGGCTTAATCAGGTAGTTCTGAAATGTGGAGATTGGCCTCTTACCAGACATTTTATAATTACAAGTTTTAATTTAGGGAAGTAAGTTTTGTTAAGAAACTATTTTCCCAGATACTGTACTCTTATATATATCATTATTAAGTTTTTGAAAACTACCTTTCTAATAAGTTTCTTTGACATATGGTCCCAAAATTGTCAAGTCACAAGAAGAGATGCTTTCCTTTTACTGCTGCCCTAGTCTTTAGTGGCAAAAACTTGAAATTTTCATTGGATAGACATATTACTAGATAGAGGAGAATAGTCTGTGATTCAATACCAGTGAACATTTCACTCTTTATATCCAATTTCCAGTAACAAATAGTTAAAATATTTCTGTTTTTCCTTTTAAAACTTTGGTCTAAATATCAGGTCAAAAATTTACACGTTTCCAAGTTTTAGTTGAAAAAGAAAACACTTAAAAAGTCATTTTTATTATAGTAGCATCTAAGAGAACAAAACACTTAGGAATACATTATATAAAGAATGTGAAATATTTAATTCTGTATAAAATACTGAAAGAAATTAGACTCCTAGTGTGGCACTGTATTATCAGCACAGGACTGCGAACCACAAGGTCAGCAGTTCAAACCCACCAGCTGCTCCTTGGAAACCGTATACAAGGTTGCTGTGAGTCGGAACTGACTCAAAGACACTTAACAAACTGAAAGAGATTAAAGAAGATTTTTTAAAATGGAAACATGTCCCATATTCACTGATTGGAAGAATTAACATTGTTAAGATGGCAGTGCTACCCAAAGTGATAAATATATTCAGTCAGTGTATTTACATTCAAAATTTTAACAGCTTTCCTTGCAGAAATGGAATAACTAATCCTCAATTTTTTATGGAATGGAAAGAATCCCAAAATAGCTAAGGCAATGTTGAAAGAAAAGAACAAAATAATCAAAACAGCCAGGTACTGGCATAATGATAGACACACATACCATTGGAATAGAATTGTGAATTCAGAAATAACCCAATTCTGTGGCCAACTGATTTTGACAAGGGAGCTAATCCATTTAATAAGGAAAGAAGAATTTCTTCAATAAATGGCATGGGGAAAATTGTGTTTATTCATACATAAAAAAATGAAACATAACATAACAAAAACAAATTTGAAATGTATTAAAGACCTAATATGAAAACAAAGACTATAAAATTCTTAGAAAGAAAAATTGGAGCCTAGTGTTTAATAATGGAGTAGCTAATATAGTAAGCATAGACAGGAAAAGATAAAATATATCATTGGGCCTTTATAAAAATTAAAAACTTTTGTTCATCAAAAGACTACAAAAAAAAGGCTAAGGAATTGGATAGACATTTCACTGAGGAGGACATTCAAATGGCCTCCAAACACATGAAAAGATGCTCAACCTCATTAGCCATCCGAGAAATGCAAATCAAAACAACAGTGAGGTTCCATTTCACTCCTAGGACGACTTCAAAATTGTTGATAAATGGATAAATTGGTGGGAGGGCAAAATGGTACCACTGTCATGGAAAACTCTGCTGGTTCCTCAAAAAAGCTAAAAGTAGGACTGTCATATGATTCATGAATTCTACTTCTAGGTATATGTGGTTGTTAAGTGCCAAGTTGATTCCAAATCATAGTGACCCTGTATGTATAGGGTTTCTAAGGAGTGGCTGGTGAGTTTGAACCAATGACCTTTTGTTTCAAACCAACCTTGCAGTCCAGTGCTTTTTCCCACAGGACCACACCAGTACTCCATACGCAAAAGATGTGTAAGATGTTTTTTTCTATCATTTTCAGTGCCCATAGCATGGACTATTTTTTTCTTTGTTATTAAGTGACACTGAGTCTGTTCTGACTCATAGCAACCCTGTATAGGATTTCCAAGGAGCGGCTGGTAAGTTTGAACTGCCGACCTTGAAGTTCAAACCAACTTTGTGGTGCAGTTCTTATTCTGTAGCACACCAGGACTCCAATTAATAAGAATGAAAACTGAAGACAATCGGGAAAATAAGCAGTCTGTACCAAAAGACCAATATTTTAAATACAGAGAGATTTTTTTTCCAAATCAGGAAAAGAACAAGAAAAATGGGCAGGTAATCAATTTCTTTTTCATTTTTGTGTTCTCAGCATTCAACACAGTGCCTAGTAAAAGTTGGCATCTTTTTTGTTCCCTTTCCTCTAGTATTAATTTCAGTTTATATAGCTTTTTAATTTTTATAAGTTTTAGAAATTAAAACAATATCAATATCAGTATTTAATACTAAAAAGAACTTGAAAGAGCAACTTAATTAAATAAATACGCTTTTACAGAGAGGAGCTATGGCATGAGTAGAGTACCTGGTAAGTGGTATTTTTTTAATTTAATGTACATTTTGATAAACATTTCTTAGAAACTGTACTTGATGATTTTTAAACTTGTGCTTTCTCAAAAATATTTTCTAAAAGCTCAGAGCTCTTTGATTTTACTTCCAATGTTTCATAAACATTAGTGTACTTTTCATGGTATTTCATAATAATAGAGTTAAACATTTCAGGTTTAATATTTCAGTCATACCAGTTTGCAGAACTAATACATTTTTTTCCCCTTAAGGTTGAATCATATCAGGGAGATTTGAGCACCTTGGCCAGTGTGGTTACATCATTAGCCAATCTTGGAAAAACTAAAGATCTTTCTCAAAATAGTATTGAAATATCTGGGACTGAAAGCTTAAGCACTGGTGATACCTCTTTGTGTGAGTTACATCAAGAAATGCAAACGAATGGTGATGTCTCAAGGTAATGTCTATTTTCATCTTAAGTGTTCTTTGGCATAAGTGTCAGTTTGCATTCCTTAAAATATTTTTATGATGAATACTAATTACAGAAAGTAGAGATGGCAACTTTTCTATGATCTAGTCAGTTTTAACTGGGAGCAGTTCAGTCAGTCAATGTCAAAATGTTGTTTGATAGGTTACATCATAAGCATGAAAAACCATAAGTGAATATTGTCAATGTTAGAAACTAATTCTTAAAATTTAGGATTCTGTTTATCTTACTAGACAGCCATCTTGATTACCCCACCATCACACCAATTTCTAGATGAAAATTAATAAACTGTGATTCCAAGTTACTTAATATTGATACTTATACAGAAACCAAATTTCTTTTGACTTTTTCCACACCTTCTGCTTCTTCAAAATGTTGCAGGGACTACTTTTAAGTCTCAATAAATACTTGGTTGAATATAAGATTTTTAAGGAACTCTATAGAAGGCATTTCAGCGATATAAGGAGCTGTTTTGAAAAATTCCTTGCTAACTGGTTAGCCATCCTAATTTTAAACTTTTATAGTTTAGCTGTAATTCTGTAACCACCATTTTAAAATATTCTATGAGTTTTAAGTTAAAATCTAGCCATATTGTACAGAATATAGTAGAGTCAACATAAATTCTTACCCCTTTTAAATAACGTGTGTTAAAAATGGATTGATTACCTATAGTATCAAATGTATAACTTCTTAAAGGACATTTTCCCATGAAAGTATAATTTTCCTGCTTTCACCATATAATTATGTGATTAAGAAAAGACTAATTGCTTGACAGTATATTAATGTAATTTTACAGCTATTCATACTATACATATGAAGCTTAATTTGTTGTTTTTGAGAGGGTCCTAGATATAATTGGCATAAAGTGCCCAGGATAAACCAAAGTTTAATTTTCTAAACAGTGTTTAGGCATAAATCTTAATTTCAGAATTTTGTGTAGAATATTCATTTTGTTGTAGAAATTGGGCAAGCCCACAGCTTCAGATTTTTCTCCTAGGGCATTTGACACTCTTGCAAAAGCCTTGAATCCTGGAGAGAGCACAGCTTGTCAGAGCTCAGCCGGTCTGGATGGAAGTGTGCACCTAATTGCTGGAGAAGCAAACGTCAGTTACATTGAAAAAGAAGGACCACTTCTCAGCGATTCACATGTAGCTTTCAGGGTATTTCCTCTGTATATTTTTAATTTTTATGTTGTGCTATCATGCAGTGTGATCTCAATATTAATTTTGAAAATGCAAGTATATTCTTTGTGCTCTCATGTCAGAAATATCCCTGTTTCTAATAGCAGCTGTAAATTATAGACATCTGACTTTATGAAGTAATGATTCAGCAAATAATGAAATAATGATTCAGCAAAGCATTGTGTTTATAAATTGTAGTTATTATATAAGGTTTAATTTTATAGATTGGCCAGGTGGCAGCATTGATGGACTCAAGTGTGGCAGCGGTAGTGAGGTTGGCCCAGGATCAGACATTGTTTCGTTCTGCTGTGCATGGGGTCGCTATGAGTCGGTTTCGACTTGCTGGCACCTGACAACAACAATTTTATAGAAGTTAATAGTTAAAACATTTAAATTTTTATTGTAATTTTTCACTTTAAGTATTGGAATTCATATTATCTTCAAAACACGGCTTTTGTTCATTGCCTAAGACCAAGATTATGGTAACTACAAAAAAGCACTTCATTTATTATATATCACTGTTTTTAGCTAGTCTTCAGCATTATTATAAGAAATTATTAAATACATACAAGTTTTGGTTTTTAACTTTTTTTCCTTTTTAACCATTTTGGAAAAGGTATGCTTGTTGTTGTTTTATTTTGGGGTTTTTTTGGGCGGGAAGTCCTGGTATGGTGCTGTGGGTTAATGTTCTGGACTCCAAAGTCCATTTAAACTGCAAGATTGGTGGTTGAAGTTTACATGCCACTCGTCAGAAATCCTATACAGGTCGCTATGAGTCAGAACCGACTCGGCAGCACTTAATGACAACAGTGTTTATTTTTTAGGTGGGTTTTTTGTTTATATTTTTTTGAATACTAGACAGTGATTTTTTTTTTTTTTTTAATCTAAAATTATGTTAGGATCAGAACTATCAATGTGCTGACTATTGGGCTACATTGAGACCTTTGGACCCCTCAGTTGAACCTTTCTGTCTTTGTTCTGTCACCTCAAAGTACTGAATTAGCAGTACAATGAACAGTACAAGACTCTTCTGGAATATCTAAGTGTAAATGCTCATAATTTTACTGTAGATTATAAATTTCCTTGGATTTTTTTGAGAAAATATGCACAGTATCAAATACATATGTGTCCTACAGGTAGAAATGATGAACACAAAATAAATCTAATAAACACTGGCCAAAGCCACATATGGTAAAATTTGTATTTGCAAAATTTGACTTGGTAGAAATAGCCACAGAAAACAAATCAACAATAATTGCTGTTAATGTAATATAATTAATAAAACTTGTCAGTGAATCATTTCTTTACATGGTACTTTACCCAAGAAAAGATTAGAGATGTTTTCTTTAAACCATATAGGAAAGATAATAGGTGACACTAGAAAAGGTAATGGGAATAATCAGTGTCATCCTTAAAAATAATGGTAAAAGCTGTGGACAAGGGTGAAGCAAAGCTAAATTTACTTTTCCCATTGCTCTATTTCTAACCCTAAATAAAAGGTTGTTTTTGTTTTCCCAGTTTTATTTTCTGCTTTTGGATTTAAGTGAGGAGAATGGATGTTTTATAAGTAAGATGGATGTAGAAGAAAAACTCATTTCAAGGGAACAGGACAGAGTACTCCTATAGGATGTAGTAGTTGTCGTATATTTCACTCTTATGTCATTGTTCATGTTGGTCCTCATAGTTTCTTTGAAACATGTGTTTTGGAAAGGTGAATTAGGTAAATTAAAAGAATTTTTTTTTTCCTTTCTAGAATTGGCTTTTTTTTTTCTATTTCTTCTTTGACTTAGTGTACTTTCAGTATCCTCAGAATGAGCACTAGAATGTTTTCTGCTCTTCTGAAGCAAGCAGCCCCTCTTTTCTCTGATTCTGTGAAGTCAAAGTTTTATTTTTTAACCCCTATTGTGTTCTTAGAGCCTGGTACTTCCATGGTTAGTTCTCTCATTGAGATTTTCTGGTTATGAATTACAAGACATGATATCTGTAATCAGATAACTCAGTTCTCGCTTAATTACTGCACTAGATAGCATTTTGTTCTCATGCATTTTTATGGTTCAGTGTAGTTTGCAGTCTACCTTATTCTTTAGTTTGAAGCTTCACCACAATCTTTAGAAGAGGTTAGGATTTTTATTCTCATTTTGTGAATAGGGAAAGCGACTTAATGCCTTGTTCAAAATAACCTTGATAGTAAAGATAAAAGGTCTAATATTGAAGCTTCCGTTTTGACTCTGAAACATCTTGGGCAGTAGTAATGTTTAACATTTTAATTCAACATTACACATTTGGTATAATGTAATATAAATTGTTTCACTTGATTCTTAAAATTGCCTTATAATACTTATCGAATTACCTTATGAGAATAATCAAGTAGATAAGTACTCCTATTTTAGAAATAATTTAGACAAAATTAAGGTATTTTCCTATGTTTTTTATCTTAACTTTGGAATCACAGTCCTTCTAATTAACCATGTTTGCAATTTGCAAGCATTTGCCATCTCTCCGCACCCACTCCCCTCATTTCTATGATTGAATGTTTACCATTCTATCACTTGAGTTTCTTCCCTCCTCTCAACTTCCATTACCATGTTTCAGACCTTTTTTTTTTTTTCCAAACCAAACTGTATCCAGCTTTATTAAAGATACTTTTCATAAACAATCCTGGTATTCAGGCAGGACATGGGCAGACAGTTGTTAACAGTATACAGCAACTTTCAAACTCCCTTCTTCTATGGAATACCAAAATCAGAAAGCCACTATAAAAGCCAGTGACGTCTTCATCTGATGGTCTGAACAGGGAAAGTTTAGAGTGAGGGTTGACATTTCACATTTAGCATGTTGTTTAACAACTTTTCATGAGCCGACCCTGACTTTCAGAAAATGAAATGAAAAAGGCAGAATGACCTATCTGAAGACCCACAATCTAAACAAAGGGACCCCT